GGGTTGGACTCAATGCCAGCACGAGTCAGGAGGATAAGGAGCAACCCTGCTGCAAGGCGTTGCTCCAGTGACGACACACACAGATTAATATTCACCGATCCAAACGGGGTTAGATCGCCGAAAGGACAGCCCATGGTCGGATGAAATCCGAGTCAATTCCGGTACGTAGAACCGGCTGTCGTGGGAATTGTCGACGGGTACTTTCTTTCACCACGGTGGATGAAGGTATAGCCACGATCCGCATCAAAACGAAGCCAAAATCGTGCTTAGCGACTTTAACGCCAAGGTCGGCAAAAAAGTTATGTGAGGTACAACAGTCGCTAAATTAAACCTCCATGAGGAAACTTCCCCAAATGGGTTTATCTAGTACTAGATTCGAGCATGGTAAATTTCCCCAAGCTGCCTAGATATCTCCATATCGAAAAGCCACCAACCGGATCGATTATGTTGTGGTTGTGATCATTGGTCACAACCACGACAGCCGGTTCTACGTACCGGAATTGACTCGGATTTTATCCGACCAAGGGCTGTTTTTTCGGCGATCTAACCCCGTTTGGATCGGTGAGTACTACATTATGTTGTCGTAGACGGAAAAAAGCCTCCAGTATTTTAGATATGCGTGCGCTCCGAGGTCCTATTATCGACCCGGACCACTATCTTTTTGCAGCCAAGATTCGCATCCGCTTCTGTGCAGCAAAAAGCGAACATCAGCAAACAAAAGGAAGGTTCGACGTCGAGAAACTGCAATCACAACAGACAGCCGAACAAATTTCTACTCGGCTTGCACTCATGCTCTCTGCGAGCACTTGTCAACAACTCTCTATAAGGGTACTGTGGTATGACAATTCAAACTCCTTACGTACACTTACTCCTGCAATCGAAACCATTGGTTTGCGGAAAATGCAAAGGAACTACTGGTACGACGAGGAGTGCCGTGTCGCAGCTGAAAGAAAACATACTTACTACCTCGCAACGTTACGATCGACCACAAGACGTGCGGGATAGGATAGTTACTGAGAGTTGAAGAGAGAAGCGAAACGGATTTGTAGACAGAAAAAGAGAAAGGCCGAAATGAGCTAGTATAATGAGACAGCTGGCCGACAAGGGTAATTGTCGCAAATTATACGAAAAACTGCGACGACTAACCGAAGGTTTCAGGACCGGAGCATACTCGTGTAGAGCCACCAGAAATGATCTTGTAACCGATGCCCAGAGCATACTTAAATTATGGAGGGAACACTTCTCCAGCCTGCTGAATGGCAGTGAACGCTCAACGCCAGGAGAAGGCGAACCCGATTCTCCAATCGATGACGATGGAGCAGACGTCCCATTGCCCGACCATGAAGAAGTTCTTATAGCAATTACCCGTCTGAAGAACAACAAAGCGGCGGGGTTCGATGGATTTCCGGCCGAGTTATTCACACTTAGCGGCGAAGAACTGATAAGGAGCATGCATCAAATTCTTTGTAAAATGTGGTCGGACGCAAGCATGTCCAACGATTAAAATTTAGGTGTGCTCTGCCTATTCCACAAAGAGGGAGACCCCACGATCTGCGCCACCTTTCGTGGGATAAGTCTCGTCAACATCGCATGTATGTACATACATCACATACACATACCAATCATACTGAATATAACCCTTATCCCCAGTTACCCGCCTTCACCGCTTGAACAATTCACGCGCAAACGACCCTAACTCTTTAGTAGTCCGAATAGTGGAGATCACACCACTAACACAATCAGGTCAAAAGGGGGTGCACCTAACAAAACCTGCACCGCATCCGTTGACACGTTGCGATATACAAGCAAACAAGAAAGTATCATACAAAGCTGGATTGAGAAGAGTTTTTGAAACCCCTAGACTTCGCACCATGAGGCGGCTCCATTTGTGGCACAGCCCACAAACAAGCCACGGTATATGGTGCGGACAGCACGACGTCCGAGACACCAATCACTCCTCAAATACGTATTTTACCTAAGGTTGCCTGCAGTCGCTCCTTCACATTCGCCAAGTGTACAATAATTCGAATCCTTTCACTTATGGCCAACCCCAGATATTTGATTTGCGTCAAATATCTGATGCTGACCTCATTCACCCCGACAATCGGTGGACGAACCGGTGACAATCTGCCCATAAGTAGCATTGCATGGACATATTTGTTGACGTTCTCCCTAACGACATTCTGAACATAGAACCGTGCATCCTCTATACTGCGTCCTTTGCTGTACCCAAACTGTCTATCCGACCACATACTCCGCGTTAGCTGAAGCCGTTCCATCATGACTCTTTCCAGCACTTTTCCAAGTACTGGAAGGAGATTGATTCCGCGATAAGATCAAGGACCGCTCTTGATCTCAAGGATCGCTCTTGATCTTATCAGGGGACTTCAGGAGAGGAACAACCCTAGCACTTTTCCACATTCGGAGAAAGTATCCCTCCCAGACGCACTTATTATAAATGGCCTCCAGGTATTCAGGACTGAATTTCTACAAGCTTTTACACATCTCTCCGTTTAAACCATTAACCTGGGGACCGTTTAGAACTAACCACGCCATACTCGTACCCCAACACGCCATCATCTATTGGAGGGACGGTCACCTCTTGCGCTTGAGGTACCTGCACCTCCGATCTAGGAAAGAACGCACCTAACGGAAACCCCGCATGCTGTCTCCACGGCGATAACATATTGTCACCGACGCGAAGAGAGGTGATATCCTCCCTCCTACGACCCTGGCAGATACTATAGATCTGCCCCCAGGGGTCGTTCCCATTCTCCCTAACAAAACTCCTCCAATTTTCCTCTTTAATTTTCACTATCATTTTCTTATACTCCCTATCCGCGCAACTAAATTCATACCTAAGCTGGGACAGCCTATCAGAATTGGAGCATCGGGCGCGGTGAAACTTTCGCCTCAATAGCCTGACAGTCCTCCTCTTTAAGGTTAACTCACCGTCCACCATTTAATCTATTAGTCTTATAACTTTCACACCTAAGTACCCTATCATTTAACCCCCAAACCACCCTTTATAGACGAGCAATTCGCTCGTCCACCCCCAACTCTTCAAATTCTCTAAGTGGTATACTAGATACCGCTTCCCTAACCGAGAGTCCATAATGGTTCGAGACAGTATCAGTAGTATGCCATCGCCGGAATGTACTCTCCTAAGGTGAGGGAGGGGAACGAGGGTTAACCCTAATTTCAATCAAATTATGATCACTCAATCCCCACCCTCCCTTAACCTCCATCGAACGTATACCATCCCCTCGGCTCATCCAAAATGTGGAGGATACCACCACCCATTCGCTTAATGCCTCGCCTCAACTGTGGCTTTGGTATCCAGACGAATGCCGGGATACCTTACTAAACCACATCGAGGACGAGGCATTCGCATCCAGCCCTAGGATAAATGGGCTACTACTACTTATCCTTGTAGCCCAGGTAGGGCTCTAGGGGACACATACACCCAGTTGTGAAGAATCCACAACTACGCAATCGTAGCTTGGGTTATTCACAACTATTGCGGCATTAGCTCTAAAGTCTGTGAAGACCGTAAAACCGCAGGAAGATCCCGAACCCCACCGTTGGTGACGTGGACCTCCTGGAGTAGAGCAATACCACACCCACGCTATAACAGCCCTAACTATTTAGCTGGATGATCCCTGGTCTGGCGCGGGCGCGCTCAACAATGCCAAAACAATTAGGGCAGATAGCTGATGTCATAAGATGCCCAGCTGGCCTACCCTAAAATGCACAGTTGCAGCAGTGGGTTGCATTGACGCGACCGGTAGCTTTGTGGTCTTCTTGATCGCACCTCCGGCAGACATCTGATCTAGCCGTACTCCTAGCCACCCTGTGATCAAATCCACCATGTTTACCTACCTGGGACCTTCCTCCTTGACCATTTTTTTTATTACTTCCTTAGAGGACCCTAACCACGACCGACCAGGTCTCCACAGGCTTCGGTGTCACCGGTGTGATCGTTTCCAGCAAGATACTGGTGCCGACAGAGCCGGCATTGACCCGCTCAGCGCCGAGGAGGAGTGTCTTCCACAACTTCTTTTTGGAAAGTCCATTTTTCCGCGAAGATGGGTACTTTGACTCAAGCTCCAACAGCAGTTCCTACATCGAAATTTTGAGCTTCAAATACCAGACCATTCAATTCCCCCGTTATCCTATTGGCAGCCGTCACATGGCCGGCTGCTCCACCCCCAACAACAACCGCCCCTCCCTCGTTTTCGTTGACATTACGCGGCGACCCCATACGCGCCTTACGCCGCGGTGGGGACCATAACGGAGGTCGCGTCACTTCCATCTTGCCGCACGACGTGGAATCACCCACCACCGTAGGAGGGCTCTCCGCTTCTCGCTACTGTCTTAATCCTCGCTTCCCGACTCTTTTAAGTTGAACTGATCCGCCGGCGTACCTCTAATGCAGAAGGCTCTTGGACAGAAAGGATTCTGGAGCAGCTGTTCGCCAGGTGGGGTCACTGCTGACAGTTGTTGATAAGTTTTTCTATCTTGGAACCAGCAACAACAACTACGGTCTCAAAATCCAACGCAGAATAACTCTTGCCCACAAATGCTACTTTGGACTGAGCAGGCAAGTGAGAAGTAAAGTAGTCTGTCGACAAACAAAAACCAATATCTACAAGTCACTCCTTATTTCCGTCCTGCTATATGGTGCAGAGGCATGGACGTTAATCTGATGGGTCGACGCTACGAGTTTTTGAGAGAAGAGTTCTGGGGAAGTTTTATGATCCTTAGCGCGTTGGTCACGGTTAATCGCTTTCGGTGGAACGATTAGCTGTATTAAGAGAGGCTCTGCTTGCAAGGTCATGTCGTACGTATGGACGAAAACACTCCAACGATTACGTCCGTAAGAATGGGTAAAGTGGTGATTCTCTGAAGCCGACTCAGTTAGGTTTTATAAAGTTAACGAAGTTTTCTACAAAGATAAAGCCGGAAGCTTTCTTGAACGAGATAATTATGCCAGAGCTACCCTAGCATATGTTATTTATCAGCCCACCACTAGAAATGGTAAAATCGAGCGAGCTATTACAGCTGCCCATAATTCTGGTTGGGGTTTCGTCATTCATTGTGGAGAATTTCAAATCGTCTATCTGTTCCCTTTTCTCCATCCCCCTACCATTGTTTGACAAGTAAGAATTAACAAGGTTGTTTTGTTGTAGCGCCAGAGTTACGACCGTTCCCACGACATTCTGTTCTACGTAACGAACGGACCTGAATTTTTATCGGGCCAACGACTGTCAATTCGGCAGAACCCTGCCGCTACAACAACAACGTGGTATGTCGTCTACGCGTTTTCGACTCTGTACGATACTAAAATATTTGGTCGTGACAAACAATTATCATCAAAGATATTTCCCAACATTTTGAACGCTTTGACACCACAAATTTGATTTCGATCACAAAATTTAATGGAATTTCTTTTTCGAATAATTTCACTCATTGTAAAAATCGGCGAATGCACTTTATGTACCGCAGGAAGACAAGCGTATACTAAACACTAATGATTATTTCGACGTGACATTCGGCACAGAAATCACTGACAGTCATAACAAGCTACAAAATCATATTTCAACGATTGGGTTTTCGCGTGAAATTTAAATAAAAAATATAGTGTACATTGCTATAGTTCAAAAATTAGCTATTTTTTTTTTATTTTTCAATTATTGTAAATTGTTGCATCATCTTTTCTGAAATTCCATTCAAAATGTGTCTTTATTCATTAGTACATCGTTGAAAAACATGGCAAAACCCTTTTACCACAATATTTGGGTATGTATAGAATAACGGTTGAAAGCGGTCAACATTATTTTGTCGTTATGAGGAATATATTTAGTTCGCATTTAACCATACACAAGTGAGTTCAAATTACAATCAACGTCACATTATTGTTAGCATATTTTTTTAACTAATCTATGCTTTAAGGAAATTTGACTTAAAAGGCAGTACCGTTGATCGTGAGGCATCTGAAAAGGAGTTAGAAAAGTATTTACCTACATACAAAGATAACGACTTTATGAAGCAAAAAGTCAAGATTGAAATTGGAGAAGCAAAGACAAAATTGTTGGACACTTTATCAAGTGATGTCGATGTAAGTAAAATTTTTCAATAATTTAATGGATTTTCAACTTTTTTCCAAATCGGGTTGTTTTATTACAAAAGCTCCTTACAAAGTTGCACATAATGGACTACTCGCTCTTAGTCGGCATACATGACTGTGTTCGTGCTGAAGAGGAAGCATTGCAAGGGGAAAACACTCAAGGGACTACACGAAGCGAAAACAGCGAAAGCGAGGAATGTGATAGTGGAGAAAGGTAAATTCAATGAACAATATCCGTATATTATTCAAACATTAAATACGTAAATTGTAGATGGACTTACAATACACCACCTGACTCACCGCGCGGCGCACAGTATAAGGAAGTTGTCTATGAAGTGGATATCTACGCTATTCCAAGCGTTGAAGGTAAGTTAAATTTTTGGTAACTATTTTATTTACGAGCATGTTAGCCTGATAATATTTTAAGCCAAATTTGATTACATTATATTCTATATACTAGTACTTATGTTATACAAGCAACGTTCCAAAGTAAACAGGACTTTTTGAATCTAGCGACCTGGCGGCGCCATCTATATGTCGAATGCTATCTTTATTGATTGTCCAGTGAGATTTTCATGACATTTCATCGATTGGAAGTGAAGTTATTGCGTCTTAAGTGTCAGTATGTTCGTGTTATCGCTGCGAAAATTAGCTTCGAATAAAGAGCCAACATTAGTTTTTGTTTTAAAACTGTTAAAAAATTTACCGAAACGTTTAAATTGATGAAATAAGTTATTGGCGAAGGTTGCCTATTCCGTAGCAGAGTGCTCGTAAATGACGATCAACATGTGGGCGAAGTCCGTGATTACCGGAAATTTCATCGAAACTGCGTGAATTAATCAAAAATCAGCCGAAATCATCATTGGAATGCATGGATATGGAATTGAACATTTCCAAAACATCGATTTATCTCATTTTGACCGAACATTTGGGCTTACGAAAGGTGCGTGCACGGTTTCTTCCGCACAAATTGACTGACGACCAAAAATTGCTCAGAATCCAACATTCGATCGACGCTTGTGACCGATTATTTGATCAAGAATCACATTTTAACCATTAACCACTCCCCGTATTCACCTGATATGGCACCGTGCGACTTCTTCCTTTTCGGAAAAGTGCATTTGCCCATGAAAGCAAAGAGTTATGCAGACGAGGCCACTAAAAAGGCTTGCGGCCATGCCAGCCAGACTAGACTGATTATTATTTTGAATAAAATAAATAGATTTTGCCAAAAAACCGTTTCTTCTGTTTTTTTTTAAGTCCTGTATACTTTGGAACTCGCCTTGTATTTGAAATGGGGAAACGTAAAGTTATGAAAATATTACCATTACCAAATATTAGTTCGGTTCATTGCAAATTTTATAATAACCAAAGGCTTTTATAATCAAATAATTTCAATGAACACAAACATTCTTTTTTGTAATTACAGAAAGGAGAGAAATTTATTTTATTGCCATTATAGATGTGCTAACGCAATATGGTGTAAAAAAACAGGTAATAACTAAGATAGAATGTAAAACATTTATGTATTGCATATTTTGATTTGCTTCATGCAACGATTAATTTTGATAATTCATCTGTTTAATGTGTTGGCCAAAACACAGCTGAATTTATCAAATTTTAAAATTACAGAATTTTTAACTGTAGTTGTATTTTAATGTTATATTTTTGATCCAAAATCCTTCAGTTGGTGTGTACTTGCAAGAAATAACTATAACAGTCAGCAGTACAGGAACAGTGTTGGATATTGGTAGTGACGGCAGAACATATTGTTGTTGCAAGTGTTGCCAAAAATTTACGCAGAACGTGATACTTGACAAATTTGCAATACTGCTGTGATTGCCATCTCGAACGGCCCAGTTTCAGTTTCCGTATTTAAATGAACAAAAAAAAATATTAGGTTATTTACTATTTTGGTCCTCTTGTTTAGACGCAATAAATTACAAAAAAATTAAAAAATCAAATGCTGGGATTTAGAATAGCATCCGCCAAATTCGAAGCTACCATAAAATGGCAGAGCAAGTCCCCTTAAAACAACTCTGGTCGGTCCAGGGCCGGGTTTTATTCAGAGAAAGGTAATTCTACAAGATATTCCGTTACCCACCACACCATAATGAAATGTATTGACGGCATAATATTTCTGTTCTTATTAATTTTTATTCGCTATGGGACCTTAACCAGAAAATTACCCGTATTTATTTATTCATAAAAAGATGCAACAAAAAGTATTTGGTATTTTATTTAAAACGAAAAGTGAGAAACAAAACATATGTTTAATGTTTCGTCTTGTCAGAATTCAGAAAAAATAAGAATTTTCAACTTTCAAAGTAATGTCTCTCTGCGTTGATTTCGTTTCACTCGAAGCTCCCGGCTGTGCCCATCACTAATCCTTGGTCATTCATCTGAAATCAATCAAACAACCCTTTTGTAGCCAGCAAAATGTTATCAAACATTTTTTTTTCTATATTTTCGGATAAAATTCCAACAATTAACTGTTTAAAAAATCGAAATTAAAAATGAAAAATCTTTAGAACAAACAATTGTTTTTCATGTTTTCAAAAAGTTTTTTTCCACATTTTCGTAAAAAAAACAAACCAACAGTTTATAAAAAATCGAAATTAGAAAACAAAAAATCCTTCGAACACACACTAGATTTTAAGGTTTCAAAAAAAAAAAATGTAAACGTTTCGTTGAAAGCTTTCGAGGTTGTACATGCTCGAGGTTGAGAGAACTTTTTGCTAATTATCAAACAATTCGAAAAATTTTTGCTGGACTTACTTAAAATTTGCAGAGAATATTTTTAATATTTTGTACTTTAAGATATAACACAGACCTTTTAAAATTACTGTACCCCAAACTTCTTAATTCAATTCTTCAGTATTTCTTTTAGTGACGACCGATTTTGAAAGTGTTTAACTTTTTACTATGTTTTGTAAAAAAAATGTATATATTAATTATCATATTAGGGAAAACACATTTTGTTTCAATGTATCGAGATTGTTTATTTAAAGATCAGAAGTTAATTTCGTTTATTAATTTATAATTCTATTTTTAAGGCCGCTAAAGCAGCTAAAACTGTGAAGTATGGAAGTAATGTAGATGGAATTTCTACCTGTGATCCCGAACAATATGCCAAACGATTTCTTGACTTCATGGACAAAGCGATCGAGTAATTATTTGCTTCCTTGACGCGTATGCTGATGCCCATTTTTGAAAATTAACTGTGAACTGAAACCTTCAACATATGCATACATACGTCGTGCGAATTTAGTATATATATTTATATATATTTTATTAATGGTTATCGACAATTTAATTCTGATTAACTCTTTAGTTAGATTTGTTCTTTTCCTTAGAATAAATTTTTTTTTTTTAATGACGCGTGGTAATCAGTAATGATAAGCATTGACCTCCTAAAAAGAATGCGAAATAATCACTGTTGATTCGAAAGCCAGTAATAAATTCTTATACCTTCATCGCAGTTTAAAGAAATTATTGCATTTCATTGGGCTCAGGTTTGCCCTGGGTGGCGGCTTAAAATAACCGACGTCTGCTTTAAATACAACCTTGTTATATTCTCAGTTTCATTTCATTTCGTCGGTATTAATAATATTATATTTTTATTATCTCAAAATAACTTTAATGGAGCACCGTCTCTTTAAATTTATTTCATAAAAAAAGTCTAAATAAATTAATTTTACTATAGAAAACGCTAATTGCTATATATTCGAGAAAATTATATGAGGTTAATATTTTGATTTTACGTGAACAATAGTTTTACTGTTCTGAATTTCAAACCAAAATTCAAATCCGTATCGAGGAGAGGAGGATATGCTTGTAACAAATGTATCTGCACTAATTTAAGTGGATTGCTAGATAATCAAACCGAGATAATTAATGTGAAGAACTCCCGTACGCGCGGAAACTAAAAGTCTGTTTCATGGCTACATTTTTAAAATTGCTTTTGTGCATATGCATATCATGCAATATCAGTTATATTTTTATTTCCTTTCAACGGGAGATAATTTTGACTTTTTTTATGTCAGAACAGTAAGTAGTAAGTTACATACTTGAAACGAAAATGGAAAAAGCATTTATATTACAATATATTCGTAACTAAACTACAAATTTAATTTTTTTCGCAAATTTTAGAAATGAACATATCTGGAGGAATTGGCTTGTAATTAAGATTTGTTTGTTAGTCATTAACCATTTATGAATTCTGTAATACGTATCGATATTTTGATGTTAATT